CCCCCCTATAAACCACATCCTACCCGTGAATTTGGCATCAATCCACGGGCAGGATTCAGTCCACCCCTAGGTGGAGCTAGGATTTCCTAGGGATGGACTGAATCATAAAAACCCCTTAAAATTATGGGTTTTATATTGTTTAAAGTAATAAATTTAAATCTAATTGGTAGAATTTATTGATAAGAAAAAATATCTTAAATATATGATTTAATGAGAGAAAAAAGGGAATTAATACCTTAAACGCAAGCCTTAGTAAGGAGTTAAATACCTTACTAAGAAAAGAAATATTTTAAATATAGGATTTAATGAGAGAGAAAGAGAGTTAATACCTTAAACATAAGACTTAGTAAGGAATTGAATGAGGTAAAAAATAATAATCAAATGGCCTCCGAATTAGAGAGGTACTAAAAATCAAAGATATAAGTGTTTTAATCAGAAATAAAAATTTCAATTATTTATACTAAGATTCATAGACCTTTTCTTGACTAAAGTACCTTTACCATAGCAAGCTCCACCAAGAAAACCCCAACTTTTCTTCAAGGTTACCAATTGAAGCACAGGCACCGTGAATCCCTCCTACATGCATGGATGGCCTCTACTCATCTAGGCATGTGAAGCAAGGTTCAAGATTTTGGAAGAAACTTTTTTTAATAATTAAAATACATAAAAATGGGCCCAACCTAAACTTTTTTTTAATAATTAAAATACAACCCTTCTAACATATTGGGGTGCATGGTAAGTGGGAAGGTCCCACAAAAAAGCAATCGGCGACCACTATAATAGAGCCCACAAAAAACCTTTTTTTTTTTTTTTTTCAAAGATCTCCTAGGTGGATAAGCTATTAACCCACAAGAACTCAAATCGTATAGATTCTCACTTTACCTACGTAACGTTTTTTCTAGCCGAATATTGTATTTGTAAATACTCGAGCAATGTTTTCCAAGAATCACTTGCCGGGAAAAATGAAATTGGGATCTTCTCCTCACACAGGCGCCTCACAATGACCTTGCACATCACACCGTGCATTGGTGTGAGGCGCCATGTGCGAGAGACCAGATCTACTTCTCACATGGGGGCACCTCACAGCCATGTGCAAGAGACCAGATCTCCTTCTCACATGGGGGCACCTCACACGCATATCCTACCATGCATTGGGAACATCTTCTGTATTTATAAGTTATTTTTCACGGGAAATGTGCTCCTCACATGAGGGCACCTCACACGCATATCTTACCATGCATTGGGAACATCTTTTGTATTTGTAAGTTATTTTTCATGAAAGATGTGCTCCTCACATGGGGGAGCCTCACACGCATATGGAACATCTTCCGTATTTGTAAGTTATTTTTCACGGGAGATGTGCATGTGAAGCGCCCAAGTGTGAGAAGCAGATCCCATTCCCATGTGTGAGGAGCAGATTCGGTCTCAAAAATACTCAGATTCGGTTTAAAAAAAATGCATTATCGAAGTAACACAAAGCGAAAGAGGCCTAGATGAAGTGATGGCGACTTAGCAACCAGCAACCAGCAGCAACTCATCCTCAGAACAATAACTACAAGGCAAATGGGTATTTAAATTTCACATCCATATTTCAATCACCATAACTTCAATCCAAATGCAATCAATGAAAATAAATCAGAGAAACATCATCATCATCCAAGTCTTGTGGCCCTTATCCCAATGGGGTTGGCCACATGAATCCTGTTTTGCCATTCTGTTATATTAGTGAGTATGCAAACCACCGGATAATAGAGGATAAAATATTATATAATTCAGATGATCGAAACAACAATCCAAATATCTATTTCGCAAATGGTAACAAAACTTAAATAAGCAAAAAATAGCATATGTTTGGAGACATATGGTGTCCAAAAGTTCAAATTAACGACCCCACACCCACAAGGTCTTCAGTTCTCTTCCGCAATTGATGCCTGTTTAGACACTCTAATTTGATCTCGGTGTAGCCCACTCGACTCTAAGGATGAGATTATCATAGCCATAACCATTTAGCTTGTTAATTGCCCTCTCAGCATCTTCCTTGTTTACAAAGTTTACAAAGCCAAATCCTCTGCTCACACCAGTCTTCTGATCAACAGCAACATAAACACGGCTCACAGGGCCAAAAGTGCGGAAGAGCTCAAGTAAGTCAGGTTCGCGAGTGTCCTCTGATAGATTGGTGACCCTAACAGAGTTCTCTTCGTTTCTACGCTTCATGTCTGTACCACTTCTATCCCCACCTCCTCTCAATGTTGGAGGAACATAGGTTGTTGACTTGCTAGTACCAGCAGCAGCTACAGTGGTTTCTGATGCAGAAGGCTTATCAATAAAGCTTTCAGGTTGCACGGCAAGATCCTTGTAAGGACACTTTGATGTCCAGTGGTCACCCTTCTTACCACAAGTCCTGCATACCATGAGAACAGCACCTCCTTTCGCAATTGATGCCAAGGGGTCTCCAGCAACCTTTGTTTCTTCTGCTTTGCTACCTGAAAGAATCCTTAGTTTAGAACATTTACATAGACCAAGATCCAGAAGAATTGAAGACATTGGATAATGGGTACTTTCATTTTCATTAATAAAGCATTTAATTTGCAAGATCTATCTTGAGGATTCTAACACACACAAAAATACTGTTTGGATAATTAACCTGATAAAAGATTGTACTTTTTTTTTGAGGTAGATTCTGAAAGGATTAAGTTGTTAGCCTGGTTGGCAATTGCTTACTATTACATCTGGATCTGTAGGAATAATATAATATTCAGATCTCAGCACTTCTCTTTAGATCATTTGTTAGTTACAATTAAAGTGGCTTTTAAAACCTTTTTGAGCTCCTTTGAGTTCAATCAGTGGGTTGGGATTCAGATAGCTCATTTTGGTCTGGGATCATCTTTATATCTTGCTTCTTCTAGTTGCTATATTTTTTGTGATGGAGGAACTATTGATGCTAGTATTGATACATTTGGTTTTGTTAGTTATAAATCTGATGGTGGTTTTCTTGCTTGCTGCTGCAGGGGGGAAGTATGTAATTCAAGAAGGACCAGTAGAGGTGGAGTTGTGGGCTATCTGGAAGGCTCTGTTATTTGTGTGTGAAAAGGGTTTTTTTTGGCTGTGATTATCCCTTAAGGCTATGTTTGGTTTGAAGGAAAAGGTAGGGAAAGGAAGGGAAAGACAAGGAAGCCAATACAAGGTTTGTAAAGGTTTCCCTACCTTTTCCTTCAAACCAAACATAGCCTAAGATTGCTCCATCTTCGTGAATGCTATAGCTTCTGCCGCTTTTGGAAATATTTCCTGGACTTGTTTACCCTTGAAGGATAAAGTTATTGGCCTTTTTAGGTCGTTTTTATTTTCTGATATTAAATATGTTAATAGAACTGTTAATATGCCTGCCCATGTGGTTGCTAGGGAAGCTAAGTATTGTGAAACAGATATCTTGGGAGGGGGCTCCTCCTCCTTTTCTGAACTCTTGGATGGATGTAGACATATTTTTATAGTAGTTAAGTTTCTTTAGTGATAAAAAAACTGTTAAAAACCGAAGGGCTCTGTTCTTTGGAAAATGATCTATATATCAGGTGATGGCTATAGGCATCCAATAAGCTGGTTTTTTGCCTAAGAGGTCTCATACTAGGGGTCTACCATTTCTATTTTTTGGTCTGAGAAGATTTTCAACAAATTACCTCAAGAAACCAAGTTTTAGCACATTAATAGTAGTCCAAATATTTCTCTATTTTCACTTGTACTCAGGGTTCAGTAGCTATATCCCTTTGCCAAGGGGAGTAGACTTATGAATACATGTTCAATGTGATCCACTCTGACTAAGTGTAGCTTTACTGATAGAATTGGCACTCTGTTTACTCCATTTCTCATTTCAGTTGTCCTGCTTTGCTCAAGCCTCAAAATGATTGTATCTTAGTCTTATACTGGGATCTATTCCTATGAATTTATTCCAGAGATTAAATTTGAGTACTTTAATTTAAAATTTGGACAAAGGGGGCATATCTTGGTGTAATGGTAAAATTTGGGCTGAAAAGAAACAGGTAACAAAGATTTCATAAGCTGTGATATACCAGAAACCAGTCCAGGGCCTCCAGGCATCCCGATTTCAGAGATGGGTCAATCACTTCAGACATGTCATGGATTCACAAACCATAAAAGGGATTGCGATTCAATAATGCCATGTCATGGATTCTAGATTTAGATAAAAAGGTTTCTTTCCATCATAAACAAGCAAAGAACGAACCTAGCAGGTGAAAGTAATCGATGCCCACGAAATAACAAAGAAAAGAGAGGAAAACGAAAAGCAGAGGGAGAACGAACCAGGAGCCCTAGGCCGCTCGAGAAGAATCTCTTCGGTGGAAACCATGGTGAGCCTGCTACCGAGTTCTTCATGAACAGCATCGCCAAACTTAGCCCACGATCGCCTCTCGACGGCACTCTTACTGAGCCTCGCCTTAGCGAGCTTCCGAATCCGAGTGGTAGTGGTAATCTTGACCTTATTTCCTTCGTTGTTAAACTTGTACTCAATAACCTTCTTGACACCGTTCTCGTCTGGTCCGATCACCATACGAGGCGGCAGAAGGAAGTCCAGATCCTCCCCGTCGTCCTCATCGAGCTCCCCCCATCGAATCTTGTTAGAATGCGGGGGGTTCTGAATTGTCGCCGAAGCTGGTCGATCGAACGCCATCGCCATGATCGAAGCTTCACACAAACAAGAGAGAGAGAGAGAGACAGAGGGATAAAATTTTGAAACCCTAAACAAGCCGCACCGAATTTCTTTTCGGTTTTTTTGGTAAAGTTTTGATGGAGAGTCTCTACTCGTAATACTGAGCCAAACATGACACGTCGGCTAGACGTGGGTCCCATAAATCAGGACCTATCCGTCCGGTTCCCGTAGAGGAGTAGCCGAGTGGGCAAATCCGTAAAAGCAGCTAAAAACGTACAACACTACCACGTCACCAAACAACCCCAAAGAAAACCTATAATAACAACTCCGCGTGTGGGAGAAAGGGAGGAGCTGATGAGAGAGAGTTGTCTCCGTTTCTTCAACGAAGATAAACTGAAGCTCGCAATTTCATCATCGACTCTCTGACTTTGAGACATCGTTTGACTCATTCAATATTGGGACGACGATCCCCAGATATCGGAAAGAACGAAGAAAGAGAGAAACAGACAAACAGGCCACTAAGAAGATTCTGCAGAGGCCAATCTGCGGGGGACCTTAGCTTCTGCAAATTCACTTTTGTTTTAATGGCCGAAAGGATGCATTAGACCTCTCTCTCTCTCAATCTTTTTCGAGGTAAGTCAAAAAAAGACTGGATTTTTTCTCTCTCTTTGGAAACTGGAAAGGCGACGACGTTTTGGTTACTCTGTCTTTTTTCTTTTTCGTATGTCATTTTTCCCTAGTCTATTTCTTCTTCTCGGAGTTTCTGGGTTGGTTTTTTTACTATTATATTTTCTTTAATTTTACTTGTATGTTGATTGATGACTTTTCTCAGCCGGCTTTAATAAAATTTTTAGTTTGTCAACGAATAAACAAGTGAACGAAGTTGGTTGCCTGGTTTAAATTATGACAGAACTGTTGCAACGGAGGCTGGAGGGTTAGGGTTTGAATCCTGACATGCTGGTTTTTTTAACTGAATTTCAGGTGGATTTTGTTCGCGAGGAGGAGCAATTCATTGATTTGAGGTTTTCTTTGTGGTAGTATGCGAATTAATGCAGCTTCTCAATTCTGGGACTTGGTTTTGTCTGATATCATTGGAATCCACTGTTATAGGCTTTGGTTGATTGGTTTTGAATGGTTTGGTGAGAAATAAGGGGTGATTAGTTCATTTTGTTGATGATGAAGAGGTGAGAAGATTGGAAGCTGGATTGTTTTGGGGGGAATTTTTGTTTAGGAGCTTGAAATGGATTTGTTTTGTTGGATTTTTCATTTTGGAGGTTGAATAGAGGGGTTTAAATTTAGGATGGATGGATCTCAGGGCAGCTCCAATGTGCCACCTCCTTTTCTTACGAAGACGTATGAGATGGTGGATGACCCATCCACCAATTCAGTTGTCTCGTGGAGTCCAAATAACAGAAGTTTCATTGTGTGGAACCCTCCTGAATTTTCAAGAGATTTGTTACCCAAGTACTTCAAGCACAATAATTTCTCCAGCTTTGTCAGACAACTTAACACATATGTAAGTATGTTTGAGATGTATTTGTTTAAATTTGATTGGTGTCTCTGGTTTAGTTTTATACGTTTTGTTCTTTCCAATTTAAGTTTCTCCTTTTGATATCTTCTCTTTGTTTGAATTCAATTGTATTCCCTTTTGAATCAGGGGTTCAGAAAAGTTGATCCTGATCAGTGGGAATTTGCAAATGAGGATTTTATAAGAGGTCAAAGGCACCTTCTGAAGAATATCTATCGGCGCAAGCCAGTCCACAGCCATTCTCAACAGAATCAAGGAAATTCTACTGGCTTAAGTGAATCAGAAAGGCAGGATCTTGAAGAGGAAATTGAAAGGCTGAAGCATGAGAAAAGTATGCTTGTTATGGACCTACAGAAGCATACACAGGAGCATCAAGGAATTGAGCTGCAAATGCTGTCCTTGGAGCAACATTTACATAAATTGCAGCATCACCAGCGGCAAATAATTTCTTTCTTGTCTCAAATCCTTCAGAAACCTGGTTTTGACTCCAATCTCATGCAAGAGCCAGAAAACTACAAGAAGAAAAGAAGGTTGCCTAAACTTGACTACTTATATGATGAAGCTGATGTAGAAGAGAACCAGGTATTGACCTTTCAGAAGGAGAAGTCTGATGTTATATCAATGCCAGTAATAGACATTGAACCGTTTGAAAGGTTGGAGTCATCATTGAATTCTTGGGAGAACTTTCTACAGGATGTTGGCCAAGCTTCTGGTGAGGAAATGTCTCCTGTTGGAGCAGTTTTGCAGCCTTATACAGTTGTTTTTACAGAAATAGATGCATCATCTGGAGATCCAAACATAGATGTCGAAACACAGTCCCCTAAATTACATCCATCTTCGCCTCATTCAAGAGATATTTATTCCTCTTCAGAATTGGCAGGATCTAGAAGTCATAGTGAAAGCCCTGTTATCTCTTCTGTTCAGTTTAGTGCAGATTTACAGTCAAGAGCTTCTGGAATTGATATGAATTCCAAGCCTGCTGCTGCTTCTGAGGTTCTGGAATCAAAAGAACAGGTAGTAGGAATGAAAACTTCTGCAGTGCCAAAAAGGGTGAACGACGTATTCTGGGAACAGTTCCTAACTGAGACTCCTGGTTCATCTGACACCCAGGAGGTCCAGTCAGAAATAAGGGATACTGATGTCAGAAAAAATGAAAATAAGCCAACTGATCATGGGAAGCTTTGGTTGAACTCAAAGCCTGTAGATTACCTTACAGAACAGATGGGTTATCTTACACCATCAGAAAGAATGTAATGGTGGTTTTTTTGTTAAGTTCAACTTCTTGATGTTTTAGGGGCCGAGTGTATTATTAATTTTACATAGAGGTATGTTTCACTTGATCTTACAATATATTACATGGATATTAATATGTTGAGTTCATTGTTCTCGTGTATCTCTGATGCATGTTGATTAGGTCTTGACATTACACTTTCCCTCAAGCAGGGACCATTACTTGATGCAATGTATAATCTTGGGCTGGAAAGCATGAGAACATGGGTGTGAGTCTGAGAATGGTCACTTTGTGCAAAAACATGCTGGATGGTAGGTCCGCAGACCACCCCTCCCAAGACTCTGTAAAGCTGGAAGAAACATTGTGCAATGCTGTTTTTATTAGATGATTATGAAAGTCATTTTATCTGTTTACGGTTGTATCAATATCAATCAGTTGGTTGCATTGATTCCATTTCAAAATCATACGAATCAGCAAAGGCTATTATTGGTATGTACCTATAGGTGGGTACATTGACAACTTCAGCACTAACTGTAGAAAACATAGAGTTGTTTGTGCAGTTCTACAAAATTGATCGTTGTACTGGTGTAAGGAGTTTATTCTGAGGGAAAAACTATCTTTATGATTTTGAATTGAAAAATATCAAGTAATACCTTTGCATATGCCATATATACTTATTAAAAAACCTTTGCATGCATCTTCTATTTATGTAATGCAAATATGCATACCTTCCAAATCCATTGCCAGACTAATTTATCACATAAAGCTCTATAAAAATAGCATTTCTGAAATTTGGCCATTTCCTACACTGAAGTGTGGGAAAAATGTTGACACTTTCATCTAGGTAATGTGTCTGAAATGTGGTGTGACCACTGCCAATTAAATGGAAGGAAAATTGTAAATGATGGTTATAGGACACAAGCCAATGAACGCTTTATGAGGAAAAACATTGTTGAGAAAGAACTTGTTCTTGGGAGTAGTGTAATCAATATTGAGTTTTTTAGATGGACAAATGGCAAGATGATGCAGGCCTGGAAGCAAGGGAAGAACCAATGGAAAAGAAATCAGTTTTGTCCTAATTCCTCATCCAATTGCAATTTTCTAATTTTTAGTTGGTTTGGATTTTGTTTTTTAGTCTTTTAAAGCTTATTTTCTAATTTGTTACTGTCTTAGAGTAGGGTTTTAAGTCTTCTAGACATTCACTGTTATTACTAAAAAATTGAAATTACTATTTCTAGTAACTGATTGGACTTGCTATTTATAGTTATTAAAAAACTTGAGAATAAAGAGAAAAATAAGAGGAAAAAGAAAGAAAAAGGGTTGGGAAACTTGTCTTACACTGTGGAAAACAAGAAGGTAAAAGGAGGAAGAAAACAAGGTTTCAAGGAAGGAAATACGAACTATGTTCTCCTACCTATTGACCTACATTGTTATTGTATTCATTATAACATGCAGAAATTACAAAAATGCCCATGTTAATTGATTATTAACAAAAAGAAGAGAAAAAAAAAGAAGAAAAGAAGAAAAAGAAAGAAAAGAAAAAAACTACAAAAGAAGAAAAAAATTATTTAAATGGAAAGATTAGCAATATTCTTTTGGATAATTAATTAGAAGAAAAATCTAATCATAGCACAAAAAAATCAAGTCAACAATTAAAAGTCCAAAAAGGTAATAAATAAGTAATAATTAAATAAAACATATAATAATAAATGAAAATAAAAATCTAAAATAATAATAAATGGTGAAAAATAAAAAAATAAACAAAAGAAAGAAAAGAGAGAATAAAGAGAAAGAAAAAGGAAAGAGAGGCACAAGAAAAGAAAAAAATAAAAATAAAAATAAACAAGAAGAAAAGGATAAAAATAAATAAAAAATAACAAAATGAACAAAAAAGGGTAAAAAGAAGAAAAGCAAAAGTGAGCCATATGCATTTCATAACAAAAAAAAAGAAGAGAAAGAAGAAGAAGAAAAAGAAAATTATCAAAAAAAGAGAGAGAAAAGAAGAAAAAACAAAAAATTATTTAAATAGGAAATATTAACAATATTTCTTTTGGATAATTAATTAGAAGATAAGAAAAGCTAATCATAGCATAAATAAAAAATAAAAAATCAAGAATTAAAAATAAAAAGTATAATATATAAATAATAATTAAATAGTAACAATAATAATAAATAAAATTAATAGCAAACAAATAATAAGAAAAAAAGAAAGAGAAAAAACAAGAAGAGATACAAAAATAAAATTTAAAGAAGTTTACAAAACAGAGAGAAAAGGAAAAAGAAAAGAATAAAGAGGAAAAATAAAAAGAAAAATAGAAAAAATAAATAAAAAGAAAGAGAAAAATATATGAGTAGTAAAAAAGAAGAAGAAGAAAGAAGAGAAAAAGAAAAAGAAAAGAAAGAAAAAAAGAGAAAAAGAAGAAAAGAAAAAAGGAAAAGAAAGAAGAAAGTAACAAAATTATTTAAGTAGGAAAGATTAAGAATATATTCTTTTAATAATTAATTAGAGGATAAGGAAAATTAGTCATAGCATAAATAAAAAATATATATATAATAAAAAATCAGGAATTAAGAATATAAAAAATAATAAAATAATGATAAACAAAAAAGTCTTAAAAAAAAGAGAAAACAAGTAGAGAAAGAAAATTAAAAATATAAAAATTAAAGGGGAAGTTGTAAAAGGAAAAAAAGAAAAAAAGAGTGGGTATAGAAGGAAAGAAAATCAAAGAAGAAGAAAATAGAGCTGCAGTGACGAAATCCTTTCTCCTCTGACCCCCTCTCTCTCTCTCCCTTCCCTTCCATTTTCAACCACTGTTCATTGTCTTCTTGACAAGAACAGTAGGTTTTCAATGGCGACACTCTCGGCATTCCCCATTCTTTTTTCCAGCGAGCATATCACCAACTCTCTACTTGATTTTTAATCCCTCTTCATCGTCCTCCTATTCTTCATCATTTTTGGTTTCTCCAAATGTTCGCCGACCTCCTTGCCCAAGTCTTCACTGGTTGATCAGAATTGACAATAACCATCGTCATCGGAAGCTTACTCTCAGTTGAGGCGGAAATCACACCCTAACCATCACGTTCCCACATCCCTCCTAATTGCCATCTTTGATTGTCATTGCCGATTGAAGACAAATAGTCAAGATTGAAACTGACTGGCTGACTGAAGTCTCCCCTGTTGCAGCTAACAAACCCACACCGAAATCCAACTCAAAATCATTGGAAATAGCCTGTGATGATGATAACTTTAGTTCTTTGCTACATAGTTTGTGTCAAGGACTAAATCCTATCCAGGTAAGTTCCCAATCACATCACATCTTTCGTTAATTTCTTCTCATTTCTTGTTCTCCTTCCTCCCAATGCTTTGATAGACATATGGACTGGTTTGAATGGAATACATCCTTACTTTTATTGATTTCTTTCGCTGCTGATTCTCACTAATAATGTAGGAACTATTCGACTTGAAAGAGTAAATTTTGTTTGAGGATTGAATTCTGTCTACTCAACCTGTATTCGGACCGATATCAGTATAGTGCTTTCTCTATTCCATGACTGGTTAATTTGCGCAGAATAGTTCTTTTTGTTTTCCTTTTTAATATCCCCCATTTGCATGAGTTTGAATTAAATAATTGCCTGGTTTGATCTCTTAATACTGAAATGAGAAACACTAAGTTATCGGATTGTTTGGAGACAATTAACTGTGATCGTCTGTGTGGGATTTCTGTTAACTGGAGCTAATTCCATCGAGAATATGATACATATAGACAAATGAAATCAATAAAAAAATAATAAAAGAAAAAAGGGAAAGAGAGGATGATGATAGGATTGGGATATTGGAGTAGAGAGGATATTTTTGTGTTTGTAGATTTTGAATGGGAAGAATGATCAGCAGGGGAGGATAAATGAACTTAATCACCAAAAAAATAAAAATTAAAAAAAAATCAAAAAATTTAAAAAATTAAAATAATAAGTACAAGAAATAATAATAGAATGAAATAATAAACAAATTAGGTCAAAGGTGAAGTGGGGAGGCTAGGACTTGCCTAGGTGAAGGGGAGAATAAGCTATTGAAAGGAAAATAGTTATAAAAATGAAATAAAAAATAAATAATAATAAAAAACTTGATAAGCTTTTACGAATATAATCCATAGAGCTCGAGCTTGTTACGAATATAATCCATCCTGGTACGACACAAGCTCTTTGTAAACAAGTCTGCCAGTTGTTCTTTTGACTTGACATAAGAAGTCACAATATCACTGTTTGTCACCTTTTCTCTTACAAAATGACAATCAACTTCTATATGTTTGGTCCTCTCATGGAAAACCGGGTTGGAAGCAATATGAATAGTGGCTTGATTTTCACAAAACAACTTGATAAGTTTCCCTATAAAATACCTATCTCTTGAAGAAGGTGTTTCAGCCATATCAACTGATAGGTGGTGTGGACCATTGCTCTATAGTCTATACTTAGCTTCAGCACTTCTAGCAACTACACTTTGCTTTTTAATGAGATTGCCACACAAAAAAGTACAGTACCTTGTTAGACCTTATGTCCATTGAGGAACCTGCCCAATCTATATCAGAATATCTCTCTAAGGTTAATTCTCCCCTTTATTGTATAGTAATCCCCATCCAGGTGCACTTTTCAGGTATCTCTATACTCTTACAACACCTTCGTATTGAATGACTGTGGGATTTTGCATGAACTAACTCAAAACCCCTACACTGAAGGAGATATCAGGATGGGAGATGGTGAGATAAATTAGTTTGCCAACTAATCTCCTATAGCTTCCATGATCATTGGATGGCTCCCCCTGACTATTAGTCATTTTCACATTAGGATCCTAAGGGTTTCAATTGGTTTAGCCCCTAGTAGACTGGTCTTATCCAACAAATCCAAGACATACTTGCATTGTGACAAGGAGATTCCCCACTTTAAGCGGGCTACTTCAATACCCAGGAAATACTTCAAGGATCCTAAATCTTTGGTTTGAAAGTGTTGTTGCAAAAATTGTTTCAGATCATTAATCCCACCAACATCACTACTAGTAATGGATATGTCATCAACATACATACCAAAATGATCTTCCTAGATGTGGTATCTCTATTGAAGACTGAATGGTCAACTCCACATTGCTTGAGACCAAACTGCTATACAGCATTGTTGAACCTACCAAACTAGGCCCATGGTGATTATTTGAGCCCATAGATTGCCTTGTGCAATTTACATACTGAACCACCCTCCCCTTGTTTAACATACCCAAGAGGTTGCTCCATGTATATCTCCTCTTGAAGATCATCATTAAGGAAAACGTTCTTTACATCAAGTTGGTACAAGGGCCAATCAAAGTGAACAACAAGAAAAATAATAAACCATACATATGACAACTTAGCCACAGGGGAGAAGGTTTCAGAGCAATCAACACCGTAGGTCTATGTACAACCTTTTGCCACCAATCGAGCTTTGAGTGTCTCAATGCTACCATCTTGTTATTGTTTGATCGTATACATCCATGTACAACTAATTGCTTGTTTCCTAAGGGATATAAAGGTAAGGTCCATGTGTGGTTAGACTAGAGATTTTGAAATTCATCATCTATTGCTTTCTTCCAATCAGGTGAGGCAAGAACTTCCCGAACAGACCTAGGGACAAATGCAAAAGACAAAA